GGTTGTATCGACAGAAAAAGTCAATGAGTTTACAGCGAAAGTCACTGCGAAGTCAATGGGTGTACAAAAGTGTTGGTAATTATATTTTCTTATGAATACATAAATTCAAATCACAGAAACTAAACACAAAACACACAAAGCATTTAATAGTTAAACAGTATGTTTCAAGTGTTTGGCACACTATATGTGACCGCAAAATGGTTTTAATAATTGATTCAAAAACAATACTTTAATTCTTGAGGAAAAACAATATATAAAAATTGATTCGTGAGGAAGAAAGTGATTGCAATGAATAAGAATTGCGGCGACAAATGTGTGGAGAAAAATGGTTGCAATAAATAGAGAGATGAATACTATATTTTACATTTTCGTGAATGCATTGAAGTTTTCTCGTCTCAAAGTTGTAGTAATGGTTTTCGGAGGAGAAGAGGGAGAGAAAGAAAGACAAGAGTGAGATGTGAAGCGAAAGTGCGATAGTATTGAGGTTTTGGGTCTCTCTGTGAAGAAAAGAGGGCCAAAAACATATGCATTGCTAACAGAATAGTGGTATACATTCACAGCTCATGTGGAAAACGCCGAGACTTTCTTCTAATGCAGTCTTAAAGACAAGAGAGTGTGTGGAAGAGGTGTTCAGAAAAGGGAGACAAAACTTTCTCTCTCTCTAACGCTGTTTACTATTAAAACACTATTTAATTGTCACACAATAAAGACGTGTTGTGTTCGCAACATCTCTCTCTCTCTCTCTCTCTCTCTCTCTCTCTCTCTCAGCTCTCAATTTTGCGACTCCTTTGGCTCTGATCTCATGTTGAGTTCAAGAAAACATATGCATCGGAACCGCGACTATAAATAGTGTTTCCGTCCCTATAAGGCAGTCACTTATATATAACTAATGCATTAAAACACTGACTTTTCTCTCTTTCTAACGCTGTTTACTATTAAAACACTATTTAATTGTCACACAATAAAGACGTGTTGTGTTCGCAACAGTTTTTATATTGAATTGAGATTCTCGAGTGTTGTATAAACGGTCGGCTATTCACACAAATTGAATGCAATATAACTTTTACAATATGTATGGTTAGGAGGGGAGGGATGGAAATGGCAACTGATCTTACAGTTGAATAATTTTACATTTAATAATCTACTAATATAATTGCATTACAATAATACCAGTGCTTTTCAATACCCATGAATAAGGCTATTATTATAATAATACAATAATGGATAGACTCTATCCGATGGAGTAAACTAACCGTAAAGACTCATCACATGTAAAGTATTAACCGATTCTATGGGAAATGTATGGCACTGACAGTTAGGCATTAAAACTAGTCTAAAATACATGATAAAACTGTGATGTAATGTAAAGTAATGCCATTCAACGGATTCATTCACATACGGAGTGAGAGAATTATTTCAAGCGTTAAATATGAGAGTAATGTATAATTTTTGTGGGAATTCTTTTGCGAGCGAAGAATATTATACGAAAAGGAAATTGGGATTCAAATATACGGTTAGAATTGCAGTCATATATTGTGTTGTGTTATATATTTCATGGTATTGTCGGCTAATTATGAGACGAATTCAAGCAACAGATCGTCTTCGGCTTTCAGACCACTTCTGTGCTCAACCTTTGGGATCGAGTGACTGATGCCATAAATGGCACCAACAATGGGGGCAACAATTATACCCATCCATACCTCTCTCTGGCAGCCAATGTCTAATCACTAACTCTTCTTCCCCTTCTACTTACCCCATCTCTCTCCCTCTCTCTCTCTCTCTCTCTCTCTTATGGGGGCAACAATTATACCCATCCATACCTCTCTCTGGCAGCCAATGTCTAATCACTAACTCTTCCGTGTTTTATATTTGTTTCACTAATGGAGACAATAATCACCAGAAAACTGAGTCAAACAGACAAATCATTTGTAGTGAATGTGTGACTATTTTTACAACTAATGCCAGTAATAAAGACTCTGAAAACAAATACATGTTTAATGTCTAGTCTTTCGGCGCAATCATAACATTACAGTTAAATAATAATTACTTATAATTGTAATAATAATTATAAGTAAGTTGTCATCAAATCATAACTTGCTTTTTATTCAAATACAAATTTCAAATGCATTCCCGGGAGTACTGTATTAAACAAGTGTTGAATAAATTAATGTTTGATTTTTGAAGGACTTTTTGAGCGTTTATTTTTAGGGGTTAAGTATTTCAAGCATCTAATGGTTCATTGATTCGTTAGGATTACCTTCTCTTCCCTTTAAATAACATATTCTGTGATTGAAAAGTAAATATTCCGATAGACAGACAGTGGAAGACAGGGATAGAGTAAGAAAAGTCATTTAAATTGCAAATAGGAGTGCATTTTGTGATGAAACCAAAGTCATTAGTATATATTATTTTGAGTCCAGAATCTAATCTGAATCTCAAAGACAGTCAACGAAAAAGCAAAATAAAAAAGTGGCGCAGACTTGGAGTCACTGCTAATCATCACTAGAGATATACAGTTGTTTTAATTATACGTTAAGACAACAAATGCCGGATTCCGTGAAAATCGGGCGAAAACACAAGAATAGAGTATTAAATAGTGAATCAAATGCATTACACGAATGCCAATGAAATGCTCCCTCTTTTAAACGCATACAGAACTTAACGCACAGTATATTATATTTTTAGTTAATATTGAAGTGACTTTTCAAACACTAATTCACTCCACAAAATCAGTGATGAAAATATTATTACCAGAATTCAGCGCAAGAATAATATGATTGACAAAGTTTTTTTGGCACAAAAGTGCGATATTTTGTGTGTTATGTTTGAATACTCTCTTTTTCGGTTAAGTAAAGAAATAAAAGTGTGAAATAAGTCCTCAATTAGGGATTTAAACAGTGATTATGAATTGCCATTCAGTGCTGAGGAATGTTCAGCTCTTGAGGCGATTCTTGTTTTTTGTTTTGTTTTCTTATTTGTTTAAACCATAAGATGAGCGCAAATTTGAGTTTAAGTCAATTTAATCGTTAGTTTCGCATAAATATATTGAATGCAAAGCAACACAACTGTTCAGAACTTTTATAATAAGTTAAAAATTCTTGTATTAATACTTAATATTCATAACTACTTGTAATTAACCAAATGATAAGCGCAGGCAATAATAATAATCATTTCGAGTGTATATTAAGTGATATAAACGGGTTTTACGATTAAATTAATATTATATTTCATAAATTTTATCGATAATTATCGGCAAAGAAATAAAAACATACCCTTTGAAGACATCTCCCGTCGTGACAGATATAAGTACAATCTGTATGCAAACAAAACAAACATATAATTCATTAATACTTGCAATCAATTGCCAATATTTAATGCGAAGAATCAGATCCTTAAGTGTTATTAAGATATCATTTGAAACGATTGGATAATATAGTTATAAAATATGGGATATTTGTTAGAAAACAATACCTTTTGAGTTAAATTGTGTCTAAAGTTGTGTTAAAGCATGAAATGAATGAAATTGAATATACAGTAAGTTATTATGTTTGAGATATCAAAATACAAATATTACTGCATTTTATGGAAATAAATTGTATTTTTGAAAATAACATAAATTGCACAAACAATTGCATAACAACATGATAATAGTATTGAAAACACGCACACAATATAATGAAAATGAAACAATGCTTTTAACTGTAGTTAAGGTATGAATATTTGGTATTTATATGAGAAAAGTGTGAAATATATGTAAAATAATTGGTTCACAATATTGATACTCACCTGAGAGGCGAGCAATTATTATAATTCACTATAAAGTTATAAATATATTGAGCAAACATATCGCCAATCGTTATACACTATAAATCATAAGCTCGAGTGAAATGCAAATATGATATTATATAAAATCTATAATTTTCTATCAAATACTGTACTTAACCTTTATTACGATTATATATAACTATATTTTACGAAATATATCAGGAGAGAGAGAGAGAGAGAGAGAGAGAATTTTATGAGTTTGTAATGAAAATAAAATCAACATTCAGTCGTTTAATAAGTAAAAATAGTGTAGAAATAGTATTTTCACCAGTAATTGATTGAATAAAAACATTTAGCATTTATTTATTTTTATTGAAAGGCTTTTTGTCGACTGAAAAATGCATTTAGAAATCTCTTTCAGAGTTAATAAGAATTTGTATTAAAAATAAATACACGAAAGGAGTGATAATTTTAGAAACAAATTTAATAAGGGGTGATTCGCAAATTACGTTCGCACTTTTTAAGAAATCTAGACCCCCTCCCTCCCCCTTGTTCGCAATTGTTCGCATGTAGCCATTTAAAAAAATATTACGTTGAATTCTGAAGACATAATGAAGAAATGTTGAACAAAATAATATTTTTTTGAAAATATTTGATGAAATTATTTTCTTGAGAGAGAGAGAGAGAGAGAGAGAGAAAGTTTTATGAGTTTGTGATGAAAATAAAATCAACATTCAGTCGTTTAATAAGTATAAATAATTTAGAAATAGTCTTTTTACCAGTAATTGATTGAATAAAAACATTTAGAATTTATTTATTTTCATTGAAAGGCTTTTTGTCGACTGAAAAATGCATTTAGAAATCTCTTTCAAAGTTAATAAGAATTTGTATTAAAAATAAATACACGAAAGGAGTGATAATTTTAGAAACAAATTTAATAAGCCTTTCGTTTGGAAGTATTCGTCAGTTTTGTTGACTTTTGAAAAGCTATTTGTAAAACACTAGCGAACTATTGAATGAATGGTATTATGCAGTATATTAAGACATTAAGTCATTAACTTTTGCATAAAATATCTTATAATGTAATTAAATTAATCTTTTTAATTAATGAATTAATATAACATTTACGGCACATTTAATATAGCGCTCATTTCGGGGGTGAGTTATCACTACAGGTGTCGACATTATTGTATGTAAAGAAATAAAACTTATAAAATGTGTTTTAATTCATATTTTTAAGTTTTATAAACTACTTTTAATGTAAATATTAATTATATAAAATGTTATTTTTATTTATTTTTGTAATAAGAAAAATGTTGAAAAAACTGATCTCAATGTATATTACAATTTAGATTACATTTGGATTGAAGTTAAATAAAAAATGTTATAATAAGTTGTGCTAAAACTAATGATGAATTAGACAATAATAATGTATTGTTAATACATTATGTATTATTGCATTATTTTTCTAAGGAGTCAACAAATTGCGGGGGCATTACATCCACACACAAAATAGCATAACACCAAATATAATGTGGTAAAACAAAATCTAAAACTTATTATACTTTTATTATTGTATAACTTCCTAAACATGGGTTCAAAAAACTAAAACTCATTTCATTAAATACTCGTCAAAATGTATTAAAAGTTTTTTTTTTGTCTTTTTTCTTCTCTAGTAAATCAATGACAATGGGATTTGTCATTGAGTTTCAAAATACTGTAAACATTGTCACGATTTTCGCTTTATATTCATTGAATGTGTGTATAATTTGTTTTCAATGTGTATATAATTACATATATGTTTTCTAATTGAAATTAATTTAAATATTTTATCACTACTTAAAGGACATATCAATAAATTGTATAATTTTCTTAAACACCAATTAAAGACATTTATCGATAGGGAAAATATGTGTTACAATAAGTGGGCAAAAGCGAGACACACACAAAAGTTAGGCAACATTTTATTACATATATTTAAAACTACAACAGAAACAAAAACAGTACTAATTATTAGTGCCATTAAAATGCGAGTTGCAAAATGCAAATTAATTTAACGACCAAACAATTTATGCAAATAATATATTAGTGAAGCCATGAAAACAACAGTTAAATTACCTCTGGCTCTACAAAGCGATCCCTTATCCAGAATAGTTTGTTTGCATAATTGACACGAAACCGAAATGATTGGCAACTTCTTGGGCCGACTTCTTAATGATTGGGAGCGTTTCAGTTGCTGTCGATTCACAACATATCCAGACTATGAATAGGAAATAAAATTTGCTTTTAATTAAATTTTGAGAATCGTTTATAATATGCAATATTTAAGTATGAAATTCAATTTAAAAGGTCTAACAATCAATGGTTTGGTATAAACTACTGAACAGTAATCGCCGGTAGATTTTCAACAGCAAATTCATTACATGCTGAGAGTATTACAGGTGCTATCAATTGCTGTTCAATACGACTGTCCCTTTCGATGTCAGATATTAATATACATGTAGTGATGAAACACTACTTTTTATTTTTATCATTGATTTTTTTTGCAAAACAAATATACAGAATATTTATATTTTAAGTGTTTTTCTGATTTTTCAATTAAACATTTGAGAATCGCTTCCCAAATGGGTTTACGACTCCTTTAAATGTCTTCAATGAATAATAATCTGTGAATTTATCACAACTAAAAAAAAATTAAAATAAATTCTGGCTTTTGAATAGTCGTGCGCACAGATTGTTTGCCATTGATTTCATAATCAATGAATAATTTATGATTTTGAAGATTAATCTCTCTCTCTCTCTCTCTCTCTCTCTCTCTCTCAAGAAAATAATTTCATCAAATATTTTCAAAAAAATATTATTTTGTTCAACATTTCTTCATTATGTCTTCAGAATTCTTAAACAAAGAATTAATTTCTGAGTTAATAATATTTACAAATAGAGCTCTCTCTCTCTCTCTCTCTCTCTCTCTCTCTCTCTCGCCCACACCCGCCAAAAATCCTACAGAATTTTCTTAAAAAACACCACAACTTCTCTCTCTTTCTCTTTTCTCTCTACTCATGGTTATTATTATTATAACATTTATTACTCCATTGAATAGTCGTGCGCACAGATTGTTTGCCATTGATTTCATAATCAATGAATAATTTATGATTTTGAAGATTAATCTCTCTCTCTCTCTCTCTCTCTCTCTCTCTCTCTCTCTCAAGAAAATAATTTCATCAAATATTCTCAAAAATATATTATTTTGTTCAACATTTCTTCATTATGTCTTCAGAATTCTTAAACTAAGAATTAATTTCTGAGTTAATAATATTTACAAATAGAGTTCTCTCTCTCTCTCTCTCTCTCTCTCTCTCTCTCTTCACGGATAGCACTTAAGTCTTGTATAATATTAAAGAAAATTTTCAATTTGCTATCGAAATAGAGTTTGTGTTTTAAGAAATAATTGTTAAAGACTTTTATGTAAACACTTGATAACTGTGTGCACTATAAGCGCCTACTTCTCACATAATGGCTCAACAATTCAGTGAAGAAAACAACATTTTTGGCAAATTATAAATTATAAAAGTAAATGCCTTTTATGGTTAGCTTTGAGTTAAACAGTTGCATAACTTTTAACTAATTTATCCATTATATCCCAAAGTTATCAATTTGTTAAAAATTTTTCTTTGCAATTAAACAAAACATAATAATTAGTCAAAAGTTTCATTATTAACAAAATGTATTAGATTTCCATGTTTTCAGATCAATACCAATTGAATAATATTATTTTTACAAAACTCATGACATTTGTGTTGATTTGATGTGTGTTTTTCACATCGTTTACTTCGGGAATGAATTAAATTCTTTCTCCAATTCGGAGTCTTATTTCGTAAAACAAATATAACATACATTTGATAGAGACATACAATACGGGGAAGTAATGGGTTATACAAAGGGATCGTGAGTGAGAAATATGTGTTTTGCCAAACAAATCATTAAAAAGATTACATTTCAATAAATATATACTTATAATAAAAATGTGAAATAAATATACAATTTTTGTAGAAAAATGAATGGACTTTAGAATACAATCAGGTTTTGGTTTTGAAAGAAAAGTTTGAGAAAAACAGCAAATAGTTGTCAAACGAAAGGAAAGCAAACGGAGAATACATTAAGAATATATTTGAATGTCTTTTCACATCGAGTAGAGTTTACCGTCACGTTAGCGTATTAGTGACAACATAAATTTAATAATATTACAAACATTATATTGGCATTTCAAAATTTGTTAAAACACAAAGAATCCTATGAATACAAAGAAGAAATTGTATTCAATTCTTAACACAAATACAAAACACAGGCAAATGAATGGCTATTTCTCGCGTATAATTGCTATGAAATTGCGATAACTTTTGTTTGCGAAACACAAACACACAGTTCTTTCTGGCGATCACTTTAAACACCAAAATTTTCACTTAAACTTTGATATTAAGACAATTATACTACGGAACCTCATTATTTACAATATTATTATTATTGGTACTCATCTCTCTTTTCTCTTTCTCTCTCTTCAACACCACAAAAAATTCTTTTAAGACATCCTAAAAACCGCCCACACCCGCTGTCACTCTCTCTCGTTTTGCCAGCACTTGCTCTCTATATATAATGTATGGAGAATTGGATTCAAACATTTATCCCACACATAATATACACTGAAACACATATACAATACTCTTTTCTAAACTCACTGGTAGTGTATATATCATATGTAGTGTACTGTCAGTGCATAATGTTTTTGCATTAGAGATTTTTTTGGGCGGGTTTTTGATATTCAGTGCACAGATAAATGTTATGAAGAGTTTTCTTACATTTATATATATGTGTATGTGTTTTGCCTTTGGGTTAATAACCATTTGAAGTGTGGAAAGGGAGGGGAAAGGGAAGCGAATGACACAAGAAATGGGCTCTAAGAGGAGATGAAGGCAACTGAACATACAGTTTGTGATGCCATATGGCCTACAAATTGATTATATTTAACACGTTTTGGTCGGTTTACCGGCTTTTTGTCTACCAATTTATTTAGAGGACAACATAAACACATTGACTGCACCGGCATTTCAATCGCCGATTCACTCAAATCCACTTGAATTTGAAAGTGAATGAAACATAACAAATGAAAACTACACACAAATACTGGTGGAGAATGTGTTCAACACATGTATGATATTCTCGTCAGATTTTATGCCAAATTCTTGGTCTAAAAGTCAATCATATGTTTTGTATATTTTGAATATTAAGCGCTTAACACATTTTTATATCCACATCGTCTATATGTATTTATAAATTAAATTAGAAATTTTAATCTACATATAAGTTAATGGCAATATTTCATAATTAACGGTAATTTATTAGCCGTCAAATAAAATGTACAAATACTTTAGGCAAATATTATAAGTATTACATAAGCATTACATAATAAGGGGAAAAATAAGCGTAAAATTTTCAAATACTTTGAAAAACTTCAACTTTTAATTTATAGATTATAATTTGCGTGAAATTTAACGTCTAATTTATAGTCGATTATTTTCCTTGAAATTATTTTATTCAAATATTTCCTATTTTAGGGAAATTTTTTCGCTTAAATGATATTTATATTATATTAAAAATACATTTAAATCATATTAACAGTTATATTGGGAAATGAATGCAAATTCTTGGCTAAAATACATATAGCAGTACATAAAGTAGAGAACACATAGGAATGGTATACATGTTTATGAACCCAAAGTAATGTTTTTTTGAGTAAATTTCCAATTGAATTGAGAGTCAACTCAATTTAGTGAACAAATACTTTTCGTGACAACACATGAAAAGGGCATAAATAGAGGGAAGAGGTATAGAATGAGATGAAAAGAACATACCTTTTGTTGAAGTATTAACTCAAATGACAATAAGATATACAGACAGTCAGACAGACATCAGAGAACATACGGAACATCTCTCCTAAGAAAGAGAGTGTTTGGACTTTTAATGCCTTTCCATTCGTGAAACATAAGTCCTGAATGAAGTGGAGGCTTACGGATAGGAGAGAGAGAGAGAGAGAGAGAGAGAGAGAGAGAGAGAGNATAATAATGAAAACCATGAGTAGAGAGAAAAGAGAAAGAGAGAGAAGTTGTGGTGTTTTTTAAGAAAATTCTGTAGGATTTTTGGCGGGTGTGGGCGACAGTGAGAGAGAGAGAGAGAGAGAGAGAGAGATGGGGATTGAAGAGAGCACCGGTATGTTCACTATCGTAAGTCGACTGTAAAACTGCACGTCTGGCCCAGGAATAGAGATTACACGCACTGTATATATAATATCGAGAAGTTTTGTATACCTGAAGGACGTTTCTTACCTAAGACAAGGATAAGTGTGTATTTTAACTCAAACTTTTGTTTTTTACACCACATTTTTGCTGCCACTCCGCAAAAACACGTATAACTATTTTTTGTGGCGAAAAAATTATTTATTATTTTAATTTTCAATTTACTCCCACATTAATGGCTATAATTTTTTCCGTTGGTTCGTGTGGTCCACACAACTGGCACTAAATGTCTACACATTAAATACTGACACATCTTTGCACTTAAAGCACAGGTATTAGTATTGCTTGTGTTTTGGTTGAAGACGAGCACCGAAAACAAAGTTATACAACAATTTGTTTTTTGGTGAGCAATAAGTAAATGACCGCAAAATGCGAGAGAAATAAAAACTGAATTTAAAGATAAGAAACATAGAAAAAAGAGGAGCACTTTTCAGAGGGAAAAATACGTGTATTTTTATATATAAAACGATTGAATGCAATGAATAAATGTAAAAAAGAGTAAAAATAGTTGTATTGGGACGTCATATGAAGGATGAGCTTTACATAGAAAATATATTAAGGGATGTTTTCTGGTGGCTGTAAATCCCCTTTCAAAGGGTTGGTTAGGTTTGAGATGTGAAAGGGATTTGCATTACGAGAGCAATAACTGATCAGAACAGAAAATTCTTTGCTCTTCTTTTTCACTCTCTGTATAAACAGTATTTTCGTCAAAAGGATTAAACAATTTTTCACCAGAAATTTGCTAATTTTTCATCACATTTTTGTTGTTTTCTTAGAGTTTCGTTCAGAGATTAATCAAAAATGATATTATGAATGAAGAGTTTTTAATAATAAGTTATGAAATAATATGCTCTCTCTCTCTCTCTCTCTCTCTCTCTCTCTCTCCCTCCAAGAGTAGCAAAGATGACGTTTAATAACGAGTTTTTAAGTACAGAAATCTATGTTTTAAATAAAGATTGAAACCGATGTTTCACTCTATAAATGATGGCAAAGAAATTAATTATTGACAATCAATCAAAAGGCAGTAAATAATTAAATGACTTATGAATTGGTGGTCAAAGATGTTATGCATAATTCAAACGGCATTTTTGCTGCCATTTCTTAAATATTATATAATATTTTAGACAAAAAAATTTGTTTGTTTCCAAAAAAAACAAGTTTTCTCGATAACATGTAAAATATTCATTCCTGAAATTATATATTATACATAGTAAACACATACATAATCTGTCCATTTGTTTGCATCCAATAATTAATTATTTTACAAAAAATAAATATTCATAAGCTTTTAATAAATGTTATGTTTTATAATTAAATAAATAAATATTCAAATATTTTTGCGTTCACCGAATAGTTCACAGATATATTTTTGTACTTTAATTGCAACATGTTCACATGTTCATCATGTTTTATAATGAATTCAGCGAAAACAGTGTATAATAATTAAATGTCTATAATTAGAGGCAATGCATTGTTTATACATATTTTGGTTAATCACTCAAATAATTCCTACGAACGGCATATGAAAAATGTCTGTAATTTTCTTAAGCTCTAAAAGCAATCATATGTTTTATATAACAAATATATATCGGTTGGGAAATTGGATGGCAATCGGGTGCCACCCATTTAATGTTACCTACGATTACATGTAATCCCTTTTGAGAAAAAAGTTGCTATCTAGGCTACGGGACAATAATGCTTTTTTCCGTGGCCTTAACGGCGGAGAGAGTATGTATGTCTGTTAAGTTATGTTAGCAACCTATATAATGTGGCATATAGCGTTATATTTAATTTTATATACTGTAAAAAAGGTTGATTGCACTGAACGACAGCCGATTCCGACCCGTATATGGCATGTCATGGATAATAAAAAGTCCTCTCGATATCGTATTGTCAAAAGAAAAGTAATGTTTATGGCTTTTAGTTCACTTGACTTCAGGCCACCACTTGGCCTGAAACAAGACACCCACCGTCTCAACACATATACATACAGTATATATGTGTGTCTTTTGTATAAATATTTTATATATAAGTTTGTGTAATAATATTTAATACTCACAGATAATCAATACCCATAGATATACATGTAGTGAATGTGTGGATGAATGAAATATTTGGTCGTTTAGAGAGTAGTCAATAATTCAATCCCACGATTCCGTAACATTAAATTCAATACTTTTTCTTTATATTCTCGTCTCTCACTCTTCCATAACATTAATTCATAAGTTATATAATATATAAACATATGAATGAACTGCAGAGCAAAAAAAATGCAATCGCATTATAAAACCATTAAATGATTTATGAATTCCTATTGACTTCTGGCATCTTATAAAACGCTACCATATATTATGAAGACTTCACAAAAAAAATAATAAAAATAATTTCACTAATTATTCAATTTGACAAAAAAGCCTTTTAAAAACCAGTAGCATATGTTTATATGGTTTAAATTATACCATAATCTTATTTCATTCCCATAATATCCATATATAATATTATATAAACTCGATTTTTAACTCTTATGTTTGGGCCGATAATTGCAGTTATATATCACTCGCCAAATAAACAAACAGCAAATGAATGAATACCTGAGGTTTGAGATAAAGTATTTAAATATATAAAGAGTGGCTTTTGTTTTTGCTTTTACTTTTGTTATTTGATTTATAAATGCAATCCTTTAAATGAATTGATAACACATTTGCCGATTACAGCCTCGGAGTAACTCTCAATCCATTAATGGAAAAATAAAAACTATAAAAATACTCATTAAAGTTGTCTATTAATAAATTTCTAAATCATCTGTTTTTCATATAAAAACATGTTTTAAACCACAGAAATATTTAATCAACATTTATATTAAATAAATTTATTTTACAAATTTAAATAATATTTGTATTAACTGTTAGTAATTCATTATAACACTGTAAATGTTTGAGTAATAAATTTAGTATTTTATTATGGTTATTTAATTAGAATTTTTAATAATTCATCTGTGCCAGAGTTATTGACATTTATGCATGATTAAATTTATGTATTTTAACTTTATTTTCAATTGTAATCTACTTTTATTTTTATATTTACTTTTACTATATTTATTACTATAAAATTTATATGAAAATATTTATTTTATTTTATTTTCCTCATAAGAATCCATAGAAAATTGAAAACAATGGAAATATTTAATGATTTATTTTCCAAGAATTTTCTATGACTACTGTATTTGATAGAGAAATAGACATTTGTTGACAGCTTTTTATCGTTATTTACCAAATCTATGAAATTCTTATAATTCAATAATATGTGATAACTTTGACACTACAATCAAATATTTCTACCTTTTTATTATTGCATTGTTGCGCAAAAATGGCATAAAATGACAAAGATTGATTTTAATTATTAGACCAATAAAATATATTATACAGTACTTTAAAGTCGTTATTTGAATCATAAATTAGTTTCTTTGCGAATAGATTTCTAAATATTTTATTTGAAGCTATTTTACCACTTTTATTGTGTATTACAAAATCACCAAACATTCTGTTCAATGAAAGTCTTAAAACAAAAAAGTCAAAAATACTTTTTTTGAGCAATAAAACTGTTTGAGAGAGAAAGCGAGAGAGAGAGAGAGAGAGAGATGTGATGATCAAAACTAAATGAAACGATTGTGAGTTCAGATAAATATAGAAATTAATTGGAAGTATCAGAAAATCCCCCAAAAAATTGTTGTTTTTATATGAAATCTTAATTTTTTTGTGAAGTGAAGAACAAAATGGTTATAATATATAAGACATGATTTAGTGCAACAAAGATAACACTTAAATGTGTTGTAAAAACACATCTATTATAACAGAAAAAAGACTATTTTTCACTACAAAACAAAACAACGAGTATTTTGAAAAGAAATCGCTTATAAATAGGACTTCACTCGTGAATAGTATTAGTCTCTGGTATGGGAAGAGAGCGGTGTATGAGTGCAATGGTATTGTATAGTATGGGCACTAAGACTGGAGGGCAACCAAAATTGGCCGAATAAGAGAGAGAGAGAGAGAGAGAGAGAGAGAGAGAGAGAGAGAGAGAGAGAGAGAGAGAGAGAGAGAG